AAATAGACACATGTGTTTTATATGCATGGGAAAAAGTGGAAGGAAGGTACCCCAGATCTTTCACAGAAATGATGGTTGGACTGAAAGAGGTTTGTATTTTCTTCTTGATACTTGGGGCAAGACCAAGACACTAGGATGTTCCAGACAGGCTAATATATGGCATTGCTTCAAACTGGTGCTCTTTCCATTTTTGTTCTACATTTATTTAGTGGACAGGGAGAAAATGGCTACCTGTTGATAAATGTTGTGTACAAATAGAGATTCTCTTCCTGATTCATTCCTACAGACCAAAAAAGTTCAGGTTCTGGGGGAAAAAAATTATTTCCCACTTTTCTGTGGCTCTTATTCTTTCTCTCTCTCTCTCTTTCTCTCTGTAAAATTCAAAACCCTGCAATTTGGAGGGACACATATTAGTTTCAAATGTAGACACTAAAATAAATTACTCATTTCTAGCCCTTTGTCAGGCATGGTTCAGGTTTCTGAATTTTAGCCGGCTGCAGTGTGCGTGATACAAAAATACACAGAGAAGGCTGATGGCAGTGAGGAGTGGTTTTGTTTGTTTCTGTGCTCTATTTCTCTCCTCCTTGCATTTTGCCAGTTACGCAAGGAGCCCTGTGTGGAGACCTGCATTAACTGGCACCACATTTCCATTTGAATCCACAGACATGTCAGCACTCTGCTCATTCTAGGAAATTTGGAAAGTACGCCAAGAGTGACTTTCCAAATCAGAAAGCAGCCCTCACAGAATGAGTTGGGAACTGTTCCCTTTTCTTATGTTTCTGGGAGAGTTTGTGGGGGATTGGTATTCGTTAAATATTTGGTAGAATTCACCAATGAAGCCATCTGGTCCTTGGTTTCTCTTTGCGGAAGCTGTAAAGTTACTAATTCAATCTATTTACTTGTTATAGGTCTGTTTAGATTTTCTCTTTCTTCTTGAGTCAGTTTTGGTCATTTGTATCTTTCTAGGAATTTGTCCATTTCACCTAAGTTATCTGATTTGTTGGCATATAATTGCTCATACTCTTTTTAATCTCTGTAAGATTGGTACTGGTATTCCCTCTTTCATTCCTGATTTTAATAATTTGAGTCTTTTTTTTTTCTGGGTCAGTCTCGCTTAAGACTTGCCAACTGTGTTGATATTTTCAATGAATGATGGCTTCTTAGGTCTTCATTTTAAAAATTATATCACAAAAGTTGTATGTATGTTACATAGAATCTTTTGAGTATATAAAACCTTGCAGGATAAAGATGGAAAAGAAAGAAAGGAAAAAAAGAATCATGGTGCAGTTAGTTGCCTTAAACTTACCACAGCCTTAGGTCCTGTATTTGAGTTTCACACTGAATTATTTGCTTGTTCATCTAAACTAATTTCTAAATTCTTCAGGATTCCATCTTTTAAATGAAACTAGTATCTTCTTCACAAAGCAAGGATGTAGTAGATACACTTAGGTGAAAAGTGAAGAAATGAAACACTGTTCATGCCGATGCTAATAGTATTGACCAGTTGGACAGTGGATCAAAGCTGCTGTAAAATTTAGTACCACAAAGTGGGTGGCTTCACACAACAGGAGTTTCTTCTCTCATGGAAGTCTGAAGTCAAGGTGTCAGCAGGGTCATGCTCTCTATGAAACAGATAGAGGATAATGTGTGTCCTCGCCTCTTCTAGCTTCTGCAGTTACCATCAATCCTTGATGTTCCTTGGCTTAAGCTGTATCCCTCCAACCACTGCCTCAGCCATCACGTGTCCATCTTGGCCCTGAATGTCTCTTTCCTCTTTTTATGAGGATACCGGTCATGTTGTATGAAAGGCCCACCCTCCTCCAATACAACCTCATCTTAACTAATGACATCTGTCCTAAGGGACTGAGGGACTGGGGGTTAGGACTTCAGCCTATCTTTCTTTGGAGGGGGTATACAGTCAATTCATAACATACATGTTCTAAGCTAACGGTGAACATTTGTCTGTTACTCTCCAATTCTTAGAAGTCTATCAAAGTGTCTTTTCTGCTTACCATGGTCTTTTTTTTTTTTCCCCCTAAACCTCTTTCCTAGATTGAAGATATGTTTAACGAAATCAGATTTAGTGAGTATGTGGACACTGGAAAACTAATTGACAAAATCAACCTACCGGATTTCTTCAAAGTTTACCTTAATCACAGGCCACCCTTCGGTAACACCATGAGTGGCATCCAGCGGAGCTTTGACATTCTTGGTTTTACCAATTCAAACGGAAAGAAAGCTATTCGCAGAGAGGATTTTCTGAAACTGCTTCAAACCAAAGGTAAATACCTAAATAGGTATATCTCGTAACACCCCTGAGCCATTCCCACTGGAGAGAACCGAGCTGGGAGACAGACCACCCCCCGGCATCTCTGATTTGACTGGACTTCAGCCGCGAGGATGCCGCTTACTGACCCACGTGGCTGGCAAACACCGGGTAAAGGGAAGGATGCCGGGAACCAGAAGGATGCAGTTTATGTTCCAACTTCCTGGAGCTGCAAGATTCAGGGTCTTCACTCGTAAAGCAGGAATACAAGTGCCAGCCATCAACCTCCCAGAGCTACTATGAGACTGGGTTGCATTTGTGAAATAAAACCACACCAAAGTAAAACTTTTCATTTTTACCTATTCTTTTCCTCATCGTACTTTTTTTGGTAATACATTTATTTATTTATTTTTGGCTGCGCTGGGTCTTTGTTGCTGCGCTCGGGCTTTCTCTAGTTGCGGCAAGCGGGGGCTACTGTTCGTTGTGGTGCGCGGGCTTCTCTCTTTGTTGCAGTGCGTGGGCTTCTCATTGCAGTGGCTTCTCATTGCGGAGCACAGGCTCTAGGCGTGTGGGCTTCTGTAGTTGTGGCACGTGGCCTCAGTAGTTGTGGCTTATGGCCTCTAGAGCGCAGGCTCAGTAGTTGTGGCGCACAGGCTTAGTTGCTCCGCAGCATGTGGGATCTTCCCGGATCAGGGCTCAAACCCATGTCCCCTGCATTGGCAGGCGGATTCTTAGCCACTGCGCCACCAGGGAAGTCCTTCCTCATCGTTTTATGTGAGGAAGTCAAGTAGCCCTTTTCTCTGGGCGATTATTTCATCTTAGCCAAACTGGTGCTTCTAATGTGAGGGGATTTGAAATGAAGCTAAGCACAGTCTTTATCAGAGTGCTGTCTTCTTTCTCTGCACAAGCCCCAACACAGCCCCCTGGGTTGGAGTCCCATTTTTAGCACCATATAAGGAAGTCTATGTGACAGTAACATAGGACTCCCTAGAATGTTTTTGTGTCTCAAAGAAACAGTGGAATCATTCTCTTGAAGACCTCAGAATGATGATGCTAAACTCTGACGTGAGGCTCAGTCCCACGAGCTGAACAGCCTCCTTTTCCCTTTGTGATGCCCAGGTGAGCACATGACGGAAGAGGAGATGTCTGACTGCTTCGCTACACTGTTCGGACTGAATCCTGAGGGCTGGAAATCCGAGCCCGCAGCCTCTTCTGTCAAAGGTACTACAGTGGGCTCTGTCTGGACACGTAGCTGAGGTGCACTAGTTTGTTGGCGACTTAAGTGCATTTATGTCTTCTGACGGCGCAAGCCACTCTCCTTCATACCACGCACACAACAAAGCAAATCTGTTGGGAACGCAACATGAATAAGCTATAAAAAGACCAGGGAGTGGTGGTCATGTCTAAGAGATGAAAGCTTTTGTTCTTGTGCTCCGTCCCTCCTTCGTGTCTCCCAGCCTTGTTTCTTCCCTTTATTCCCCCGATCCAGTCCTCGTCTTTCCAGCTTGGGTAGGCGAATCCTGGCCACTAGTAGAGGATACAGTTCGGAAGCTCTTTCAGAAGAGGTATCGTCAGGAGAGCCTTGGATGAGGAGAGGGCAGGGACTCGGCAGGCAGGCACGAGCCCGACTTCACGCTGCCAGAGCTTGAACATCTTTAAAGATCATCCTGGGACTCCCCTGGCAGTCCAGTGGTTAGGACTCCGCGCTTCCACTGCAGGGGGCGTGGGTTCGATCCCTGGTCGGGGAACTAAGATCCCGCGTGCTGTGCAGTGTGGCCAAAAAAAAAAAAAATCCTCCTCTCCTTTCCTGTCTGAGGATTTCCCACCTCCTTCTTTTAGCTCACTGACCCCCTTGTGCTGGAACGTGTCCATGGACAACCCCGAGTGCTGCCCTGCTGCCCCCATGGGGTCGGGAGCAAAGACTCCTCACCAGGCTTCCTTCTCCCTCTCCTTCTGTTGTCTGTTCCCAATTTCAAATTGAACAGAGTTCCTAACACAGATAGTTCTAGACTCCAGGAGCTGATTGGTCATTTCCAACCCGCAAGCTCCTCTACGCCATTCCTCGTGTACCTGGGATCTCAGAATGTAACTTTCCCAATTGTTTTATATACACACACATGTATACAGTGTTCCTAAGTGTCTCAAAACAGTAAAATCAATGATGCCTTGTAGTTGAGGCTTTCCAATGAAGTGTGCAGAGTTTTGGGTAACAGTGCTCCAAACCCAAACCACAAAGGAGGGATTTTAACTAGTTTCCACCCAAAGGTTTCCACGGAATCAGGGCCAAATCCCAGCACAAAGCTCCTCTCACTTTTGTTTAGTATCATCTCCTCATATTTTTGGAAAATGCTTCTGAGTTAGAAACCTAATTGTTATGAAGGCATTTGCTTTCTTTTCTTGTTGGGTTTAGGTTCAGAAATTTGCTCTGAAGAAGAACTTCCAGACGAAATCACTGCAGAAATATTCACGACTCAAATTCTTGGCCTAACCATTTCCCGAGCTTCTGGACAAGATCCCACGGTCAGTGAAGTTGAAAGGAGTGCCTGAAGCACAAAGGACTTTGCGCGTGTGTGGTTTTTCCACAAGGCACTGCTTTTCCCGCATTTCCCTACCCCTACTCTAATCTTCAGAACGTTTAGACATTAAAAGCAAATTTCTCTTAAGCAGTGGAATTCACAACGTTGGGCATTCCACTGTTTCTGAAATAGAAAAGTGGGTGGAGGCAAGAAAAACGATGGCGGCTGGATGGAAAGGGTGTCTGGAGACCCTGGCTGCCATTCTCATGCCTAATCCACGGCAGTGCTGCCTGGAGGGGGTTTGGACAGGACGAGAAGGTGGCGAGGTCCTCGGGGGCAGAGGGGGCCTCATCCAGCAGCAGGCCTTCCTTGTGGCAAGTGTGGCCTTATTTCTATCCCCTCAAGTGGCACCTGGACCCTTAGCCTAATGTGGTCTGATATGGGTCATCCCAGCCTGCTATTAGGCTGGGGTGGGGGCGTAGGGTGCTCTGGGCTCCCAAGAGCCCCGGCTTGTGGCTTCTTATGAGCAAAACCCCTGAGCAGTTGTGTGCGACCGTTATGAAGAGCATCCCTGGCCATGCTTAACGCCGGTGGCACCTGCCAGAGAGAATGCAGAACAGCAGCCCCGGAGCCGTGTGTGTACTGCAGCTGGACCAGAAACGGCTGGCCTGCCTCCCCGGGGCAGAGCTCAGCAGACGGGAGCCGCCCCCTCACACAGCGCACGCGCCACACAGGCCAGTGTGGTTGATTCGCAGCCTTGAACTCCGCTGGGCCGCAGAACGCACGGCGGGCAAAAGCAGTTCCCAGGCTCGGCTCTGCGGGATGTTGAGGGAACGTGACTAAGGCTTCAGCAGCATTCTGACCTTGAAGATAGGGTACCCTCGTCATATAAACAGATGGAAGTTATGGTCTGATTTTTAAGAGTTTTGTCCTCAGTTAGGAGGTCTCACTCAGGCAAATGGGCCAAAGGTTATTCTCCACACATGCTTTGTCCGACACACCCCCCGGCCAGTACCAGCTCCTTCCCCGGAGAAACCAGCCTTTGAGATGATGTTTCTGACCCCCGGAGCAGGGGTCTGTGTGAGAGAAACAGAGCGGCTGCAGCACCCTCCTCCAGGCACAGAGTCCCCTGCGTGGCGGCCGTTTGGAAACCTGGCTCTGTGGGTCCTTGGGACAGCCTGGAACACAGAACCGAGCCGTATCCCCCACCCCGGCTGTGTCACCACAGCCTCGGGACAGCTGGCGCCCGCTCGTCACACTGTATACCTCCAGGGCTTTGCAACCTGGTTTACATTTGGTTCTTTTTGAAAAACACAAAAAGAAAAACAAGCTTTGTGAATCAGCTTTGCAGCTGCTAAGGGCTTAGGAGAGACAGACTACCAAGCCAGTTAAAAAGTTCCCAGGGACATTTTAGGGAACAGAAAACTCTCAAGTGACTTGTTCTCTTCAGAAAATAACTCAGAATTGGATGCACTCTGGACACCCACCAGGGGCTTCTTTCATCAGGTCCGGCTCCCTCTTTTTGGTTCTTGTTGACGACATATATTGGAGTCATCGTCTGGAGCAGAACCGGCCCATGAGCAGTTGTACCCGCGGCGGCGGGGCTGGTGAGCGGGAACCACCATCAGGCCCAGGCTGAGCCACTCGCTCTGCGCTGAGTTGATACGGGAAGGGTGAGGGTCAGGGCGGCCGTCCATCCGGGAAGGCCCAAATAGCAGGGGACAGCAGCATCCATGTCAGCGGCGTTCCCACCCTGCTCCCAGCCCAGCCAGGCCACGGGCGCCCCTTCTCACCCTTTGTGCTGGTGCTTTTCTTGGGGTATCTCTCAGCTTGTCCGACCAGGGTGAAGAGCAGCTTATGTGCACCTTCCAGGCCCGGCAGGGCGTCTTCACCTGCTGGCCACGCAAGCGGTGGCGAGGCTGGGCCCCAGCACCCGGGTCCAGGGCAGGAAGAGGAGGGCTGCCTTCCTGCCCAGAGAGCAGAGAGCTCAGACTCTTCCAGCCATGTGGGTAGCAGAGCAGCGACACCAGAAATGGAGGGAGCAGAGACCCAAGACGGACGGTCTCGCTGGGCTTGTACATCGGACGTAGGGATGAGACACTGGACCCCAAAAAGCACCATGTGATGTTCTTTTGAAAAAATAATACTGTTTCAGATGGGGCCTCTGGCTACCAACCTCTGCATCCTGGCCTGTTGCTTCCAGAGTTCAGGAGCCCTTGGAAAAGCCATGATCGTCCAGGAACCACCCAAAGCCTCCCCCGCCCCCCCACTCTCTCCTCCAGACCCCCAGGCCCCTCCTGGGCAGGACGAGTGTCTTGTTTGCACAGCACCAGCCCAAGGGCCGGGCCGGCCTGGACTTGCATCCTGCCTCTGCCATTTAGCAGCACCCTGTGTGCCCTTGGGTATGGCTAATCTCTTAAACCTCAGTTTCCCCCTGGAACAACTCCTGTGGTGCTGGTGAGGATTAAAAGAGATATTGCAAATAAAAGTGTTCCTGGCATAACGTAGTGCTCAAAGTAGGACAGCAGCTATTATCACTGCAGGCAGAAACTGTGCCTGAGACTGGGGAAGACGTTTGATGAGAACTAATCTCTCCTGACTCCAGGGTTTTAGCATCTGTTAACACTTGCTCAAATACGGGTCTCTGCAAGCTTTGACAAAGGACCCTTGATAAATATTTGTGGAACGACTGAATGAACGTGAAGCTTCAGTGCTCTTTTAATAGCTGACTTAGCTTTTGAATCGAAGTGAATCCGGCCCCCACAGGCCGTCTGTATCAGGGTCAGCAGACTCTCTGGAAAGGGCCAGAGGGTAAACAGTGGGGATCTGTGGGCCGAGTGGGCTGTTGGATGCCTCACCTCGGCCGCTGGAGCACAAACGCAGCCACACAGACTCTGGTCCAGAAAAGAATGAATGTGGCCCCCTTCCAGTCAAACTTTATTTGTGGACGCTGAAACTAATTTGGATTTCGTGAGAATTTCCACACACCGTGAAATCATCTTCTGAGATTTCTTTCAACCACTCAAAAATATGAAAGCCATTCTTAGCTCGTGGACCACACAGACACAGCAGCCCGGATCTGTCCCGCAGGTTGGAGTTTGCACCACCTTCTAGGCCAGGATGACTCTTTCCAACGGATTTTTACAAATACGACGAATGTGTAAAACATCTGACTAGTACTCTTCAAAAAAGCCCAGGTCATGACAAACAAGAAAAGGCTGAGAAACTGTCCCAGGTTGGAGGAGACTAAGGGGATACGATGACTAAATGTGAAGCAGGATCCTGGGTTTCTGGAACGGAAGAAGGACATTAGGAGGAACCCGGTGAAACCCAGAGGAAGTCTGTGGTTCAATTGATAGCACTGGGCCAAACTCAATTTCTTAGTTTCGATCAATGTATCTTGGTTGCCTAAAAGTGCACACGAGGGAAGCTGGGTGAAGGGTCTGTGTTAACTCTCCATACTACCTTTGCAAATCTAAACTATTTCAAAATCAAAACTGTATTTTAAAATGAGGGAATTCCCTGGCAGTCCAGTGGTTAAGACTCCGTGCTTTCACTGCCGGGGCCCGGATTCGATCCCTCATCAGGAAACTAGGATCCCACATGCCTTGCAGCGTGGCCAAAAAAAAAAAAAAAAAAAATCCTGTACCACATTTCTGCCTCAGCCACCCCTGAGTTGTTTCCACGAGCTGCCCTGTGCCCCGCAGCTCTCAAGCCAATGCTCTTGAAGCCAGTCCGGGCCCCTGCTCGTGGGTTGCCTCACGTGCCGCTGTCCTCTGTGAACCCGATGTGCTTCACGACAGTGCAGACAAAAAGGGGCTTTTTTTTTTTTTTTTTTTTTTCCAAAAAGATCTGTGTCCTAAAGCCATGGCTGCCCTAGACCCTGGGGTTTTTGGCCTGACCATGATCTTGAGAGATCTGGGTGACAGAGGTTCCCCTGCACACAGTGGCTCGAAACGCTGAGTGTAGGGACCAAGCTCGTGGGACAGTAGACCCGTCGCGGGGTTCTTTACCGTGTTTCCTGAGCTGCTGATGCCCGAGGCAGGCCTCTCGCCCCCGCCGATAACCACGGGTATTTATCAGTGCCCAGGTGAGAGGCATCGGGCCCCGAAGATCACTGTCCACTGTTGGCAACCCTGCCTTTTTCTCCATAGTTTGAAATCACCAGCTGTGAGTGGGGAAGTTCAATACCAAGGTCGCCCCCATGGAAGGGAATGAGCCATTGTGTTCAGCCCTGCACCCCCTCTTGTTCTCTCCTTATTTGTTGATGGGAAGTCATAAAACACTTCAGTGTAAACATGGTATTTATTTTTTTAGATCTTAGTCGTTAAAGCATGTGGGTTTTTTTCCTTTGGGCAGGGGCGAGTTTAGTTCCAACAACCACTACAAGCTATTTGCCAGCACTTCAGACAACACACAGCGTGTGCTGTGAAGGGTAGTCCCCACAGCGTGTCTGTCCTGGCGGAGGGAGCAGTGGGCGGTATTGCGGACCCTGGGTCTGATGCAGAGAGAGCGCATCAGGTGTAGGCGCTGTGTCTAAAGTGCTGGCCGCCACCCAGCTTCTCCTCGGTGTGCATCTGATTGCTTCGGAGATGGACTTCATCCATCCATTCATTCACGAATTCAGCAAAGAGTGAGTGTGCGCCAGCACTGCAGTAGGGCTGGGGGTACCAGGGTGGAAAAGACGGGCATGGCCCTTGTCTTCAGGGATCTCTCGTTAAACAAACACATAACTATGTCGTTGCAAATTGCGGTCATAGAGGAAGAGCCAGGGGCCTATGGATAGAATATCATGAGGGAAATGTGCTTTAGTTAAGTGATCAGGGCCGGTCTCTCCAAAGATGAGGCTTGTAAGTTAAGAGACAGTCATGGAAAGAGGGGGGAGAACCTTCCAGACCGAGGGGACAGTGCCACCAAGGCCAGAAGCATTCAGTGAACCAGAGGTTTGTGTGGTCAGACCCTAGAGAGGGATGTAGGCTCAAGGTGGGGTCCTCAGGAGTCTAGAACGATCTCTGGCATTCCTTCAGCACTGCCGTTGCACGGTGCTTCCTCTCGAGTCCGAACAGGAATGTTTTCACGTGGGCGATGGGCAGGAGGAATGGAGGGAGGCCAAGTCTTCAAGAAGATGATCTGGCCTTTTTCATTCCTTCACTTTCAAAGAGTCTTGATATGGGACTTCCCTGGTGGCACAGTGGTTAAGAATCCACCTGCCAATGCAGGGGATACGGGTTCAAGCCCTGGTCCGGGAAGACCCCACATGCCGCAGAGCAACTAAGCCCGTGTGCCACAACTCATGAAGCTCGCGCGCCTAGAGCCTGTGCTCCACAACAAGAGAAGCCACCGCAATGAGAAGCCCCACACCACAACAAAGAGTAGCC